TTTTATAGGAAATGATAATCATAATTTAACAACAAAAAAGAATTTTCACAAAATGTAGACGACTTTTTTGCCTCAGGGTGCTGTNTCATAAAAACAGAATTTATCTTCATAAAATAAAACATTTAAAATAAAATGATATACTACTAATATAAATATTAGAAATTTTGTAAATAATTAGAAATTGATTTATATTAATATGGTTTATTTATAGATTATTTTATTTATACAAATGACTAAAACGTTTTTAATTAATAAATTCTTCTTATGTAGTACAAATGGCTAACAGCAAATTTTCTTATGTAAAATTATATGAAGAAGAGAAAAAAATTTTATTTAATTGCTTTTTTGTACTAAGAATAGATGGTTGTGACTTTAAAAATTTTATAAAAGATCATGAATATAATAAGCCTAATGATATAAAAGGATTAAATTTAATGAATGAATGTGCAATTGAAGTATTAAAAAAATTTAGTGAGATAGATTTATGTTATGGACATTCGGATGAGTATAGTTTTTTATTTAGAAAAACTACAAAACTTTGGAATAGAAGATATAATAAAATACTAAGTAATGTTGTATCATATTTTACTTCTTCTTTTGTACATAAATGGAAGAATTTTTTTAAAAAAGATTTAGTATATCTACCATGCTTTGATGCACGAATTATTACTTATCCTTCTGAAAAAGAAATAAAGGATTATTTTTCATGGAGACAAGTAGATTGTCATATTAATACTCAATATAATGAATGCTTCTGGAACTTAATTTTAAAAGATAATTATACTAATGAAGAAGCTCATAAATTTTTATTAACAACTCAAACTAAAGACAAAAATGAATTATTATTCACTCGTTTTAATATTAATTACAATAATATTCCTGAAATATTTAGAAGAGGAACAATTATAATTAGAAATAAGAATTTTCAAAAAAAAATTACTCCCAATATAAAATTTAACAAGGAATTTGATAATACTACTAAATTAGACCAACATCAAAGTATAAAAGATAATTGTAATATAAATACTAGTGTTCATTTCAAAGATAACTTTAATTTATATTCCAATGAAAATATAGTTGATAATTCTGATATGAAATTTAATCAAGAATTAAATGATAATTTAAGTAAATTCATTATATCTCATGAAAATTTAATTAGTGAAAAATTTTGGAATAAATATAGTTATATTTTTAAAACAAAAGAAAAAAAAGAAGAACAACAAAGTTAATATGTAAAATATTTTTTTAAAATTATATTATTACTGTTAAAAAAAAAAAGAAAAGAAAAAGAATGTAAAATATTCTTACATTTTTTCTATATTATTTGAATAATGATTTTTTTTTTTTTATTGCATACAATGTTCTTACTCATTTTTTATTATTATCATTAATATAAGAAAAAAAAAAAAAAAAAAATTTTTTAAATAGAGAAAATATAATAAATAAAAATTTATAATAATAATGAAACAATAATTTTTTTTTTTTTTTACTGAAATAATATTCAGTTATAATAAAATGTTTAAAAACAATTCTTAATATTATTTTAAGGTACCTTTATCTTTCTAAAAAAAAAGATAAATAGATCTTTTTTTTTTTTTTTTTTTCTTTAAAAAAATGTGTCTTAAATATAAGAAAAAAAAAAAAAAAAAAAGAGTAACAAACACAAATAATGATATTGTATTGTTATTGATAAAATCTGTAAATATTGTTATTTCAATGTTCATATAGTAATATATTCAATAAAAATTTTTTTTTTTTTAGAATATACAAATATGTGTGGGCACTTTTTTTTTTAATTATACTATTATAAGAAAATAAGTCTATATGCGATTAAGACTTTGCATAGAAATGCACAGTTTTTTTTTTTTTAAATTAATTTTTATTATGTCAACAATTGTAAAAAAAAAAAAAAAAGAATAAGAACAATGAGAATATAAATAAAATAAAATTTACAGATAAAAATAAAAACTTTTTTCATTACAAATAACTTTATTTATTTTTCAAATAACTAATTTTTTGTAATAATTTTTAAGTTATTTTTCATATTTTAAATTCATACACTAGCTAAAAATGAGTTGCTCAAATGTCCAACCACTTCAAAAGCCTTTAGATAATCCATTTATAGAGTAAATTAATTCCACTTAATATTTAAATACATATATGCATATTGTATAATATGTAAAAACCCGTCTTCTATAAAAGTTTTTTTTATTTTTTACATATATTTATTTTTCTCTCTTTTTTACACACATTTTTAACTTTAGTTATTTTCTCTCTTTCATATTTCTTATAATATTCGCAATATTTCTTTTTTTTTTTTTTTTCTTGTATTTTTAATTTTTAGTAAACCAGCTGGAAAACCCACATATTCCAATAAATCTAATTTTTATAAGGTAAAATATAAACAATAAATTAACAATATACTTATATTTAACATCTATTTTTATAAATTTATAATTTAAGTTATATTATGAACCTTGTCCAATGGAATTTAAAACCTCTAGAAGAAATATTAATCATAAGAATAAAACTTCAATGTTTGATGTAGCTCATGTTAACAGAAATGGTTTTAATAATAATATTTCCACTATAAATTTTTTATGATTTTTTAATAATTATTAACATTTTTTTTTTACAAATTGTATTTTATTATAATGTACAACATGCAGACATTTTTATTAAGTATCTTTATATTCATACTTAATGTTTTTTTTTTTTTTTTTTAATCTTTATTACAAAAAAAATATATATATATATATATATAGAAAAAGTATCAGATATTATTGATCATGAAAATTCGGATATTCAGAATACTTTAAAAAAAAAAAGAATTATCATTCCATCTTCATTAGATATAAAAAATATACTTCAAAATGATATGAAAAATATACCAAATGAAAAATATGGAAAAAAAATTTCTCATGAAGCTAGAAATTTTCATATATTTTCAGAAGAATAGTAAAAAAAAAATAAATAAAATATATATATATATTATGTGTATAAAAATAACTTAAATATTATTAAAATATTTGTTTAAAATTTTTTTTGTTTTTTTTTTCAGTAATAATGTAAATGAGAAAAGAAGGTTCTAACAAAAAAAGCAATGATTAAAAAAAAATTTTAAAGATATTATAAATATATAAATTTATTATTATTTATTTTAGTAGCAAAAAAATTAGTACTTACAGTTTAGAAAAAAACCCATGTAAATGGGGAGTGGATGTTTTTAGATATACTTTACCATCACCAAAAAAAATATATAGACATATTGATAATTTATCAGTATAAAAATATTATACATATATATATATGTGTGTAATATATTTATATAATTATTTTTATACTTTTATTCTAATAGTCTTGTTTAATTCCTAACAAAAGTGAAGATTCAATTATACCTAAAAAAAAAAAAATTCATTATGTAACTAATTTAGAGGTTTATATATTTTAATAAAAGAAAGTAAAAAAAAAAAAATAGATAATTTAAATTTCTCTTGCTATTTTATTTTATTTTTTTCTTTAAAGAAATCCTTATGCCCCAAAGAAGACAATATCATTCCTAATTCAAATAAAAAATTAATTTATCTGCATGAGTCAAAATTAGATGTAATTTTATTTCATTTTATTTTATTTTATTTTATTTTAATAAGAAATTTTTTTTTTTAATTTTTATTATAGGTAAATTATGTCCCTAAAGATTATGAAGAAAAAAAAAACTTAAACAGACCGAAATTTTATAATGGAAATTTGAATGTTACATTTATATATATTTATTAATTTCTTAACTTATATTACATGTTGTGTATCTATTTTTATTAACACATTTTTTTTCTTTCATGAATAAAGGCGGATTTAACTCCTCTTGCTGATAATAATAGAAAACCTTTTCATATCAACACAACATGCAGAAATAAAAAATGTTCCATATCTTTTGGATGTATAAATTGACATGCAACGATCTAACATATAATAATAGAATTCATAAATATTATATATATATATATATATATAAATTAATTAATTTATATTTTACTATTAATTGACTAACAAATTTTATCATATAGGTGATAGAGAACCATCACCATATAGACCAGGAAAAAGAATTGGATATGTGAACACAAAAAATGAAAATTCCGTATTTTTATTTTAAATAATAGAAATACATTTATTTATTTTCATTTTTAATTACCTATTGTTTTTTTTTCTTTTTTTTTTTTTTTTTGATATCTTCATATGTATCATAATTTTTGTAATTGTAATGAATTAATTCTATTGTATTTTTACTTCAATTTGTTTTTTTTAATTATAATTAAAAAAAAAAAAAAAAAAAAAAAAGAAATAAAACAATTTTGTGGTGCACCTAATTCATTTTTTAATATATCTTATTTTTTTGATGTCTGTAATTTTTTATAAAATTATTCATTTTTGTTAAAATTTTTTTAATATATTAATTTTTTTTTTACTTACTATTATCTTTGTGTATCTTAAATTTATGTTTTTATTTTTCTTGTAAAAAAATTATATTTGTCCTTATTAGACTTGTTTACTATTTTACCTCTATTCATTTTAACATTTATTCTAAAGTTGTTATTAAATGTGTTTATGCCTATAATTTTTTTATAATAATATTCCGAATTTTTAATTTTTTCTTAATATACTATTTATATTGTATATAAGAAAGTTTTAAAAATGATATTTCCTTTTTATTTTTTATTTTATTATTTTTTAAAAAATATAACAAATATAATAAAACATTTCAAAAAATGAAGACAATATATAAATAAGAGATTAATAGCCAGAAGAAAAAAAAAAAAAATGAAAAAAAAACAAAATTTAAATAAATAAAATGATGAAATATATACGGATAATGTATATCTAGATGGCACATTTTATAAATATAATTGTTAGATATATTAGTAGCTTAACTAAACCTTTATATTTTTTAATAGAAATAAAAAAATGTTTAAATTATAAAATTTCTTAAGTAATTATTTTGTTTTGTATATAATATAAATTTGGTCTTCATATGTTTATATTTTAACTATTATATAAACATGTATATCACAATTTTCCATAAATATACAAAACATGTAATATCAGAACATTATTCAAATTTTTATCGTTATAACATTTTATTTACAACATATTTGGATTACCTTTATAATACCTATATATAGTCATAGCATATTAAATTTAACTATTTTTACATTTATTTTTTTTAATAAAATATATATTTATATAATATATTTAGATAAGTAAATGTAATTCCACGAAAAAAAAAAAAAAAAAAAAAAAATAAAAATTTAAAATATTTAATGTTGTATGATATCGGAAAACATTTTGGTACTTTTTGGGTATACTGGTGACCCTTTTAAATTAATGATTTTTTTTTTAGGATAAAGAATTTTCCAAATAGGTTTACATTTTTGACAGCATTTTTTTTGTATTTTAGATAATTTAACAGGTGTTTCATATTTTCTTTTAAAAATATGTTCACTGTTGTCAACAACAGGTAAAGCAAAAAAAGTTTTACATAAATCAATAATGTTCATGCATTTACATGATTGAATTTCTTCTATTTTTGTTTCTGTACTATGTATATTACTGATTAAATCAGGATAAGTAGGTAATGACACGTTAGAATAATTATCTATTTCTTTTGATAAAGGATCTAATTCTTTTTTATGTTCATATAAATCATCAGGTAAATCATATTGTTCGTCTTTAGTTGGACAGGTAGCTGGAAAAGAATGAGAATCATCATATGAAGTTAACTGAGGAGGTACAATTTTCTGATTAACAAATATTGAAAAAGAACAAAAGGGAGGTACAGAAACATTACTACATGGTCCTTCAATATCATCAATCCAAAAACCTGGACAAGCAATTAAGGTAGCTAAACATTGAGGAAAACACATGGGCATTGTTTCAGCAACTTTTAAACCAATAGGTAACCAGCATATTGGAAAAATTGAAGCACAAAACATACCCAAATAAGCCATAGCACATATTCTATATTGTGTTTCTGATGTTTTACCTATTTTTACTGCATATTTTGATGGAAAACTTGAAATAACTCCATTCATAATTGAATCTGTTATATCAGCTGTTATAAATTCTGCTGCTGTTATTGGATATAAAATAGAACCTAGACAATTTTTTCCTGTAACCATTGGTAGACATGGTAATGGTCTATTTATCCAAACAGGTGGAGGTATTAAAGGGGGAACAATATCTACTACTGAACTAGCTACTGATTGAATTAATCCTTTAACCATGGTTAAACTTTGCATAACCATATTAGCTAAACCTGGTTCTTTTATGGATTCAGGTGTTTCAATGTTTTCTAAAGAATCTTTCATCCATTTACTTAAATTATTACCATATGTTGATCTTATTGGTCCTCCTGGATATAATATATTTTGGTCTACTTTTTTTTTTTCTTTTTTCTGTCTATTTTTTTCATAGATACCTTTATCACAATGAGCATAAGATTCATTTAATTTTTTTATTTTCTGTGTAAATCTTTCATTGTATTCTTTTTGCATAATCTTTTCCATTAAAAAAGTATATCCATCTACATCAAAATTACTTAATGCAGATTTATATAATTCAAGAAAATTTTCTTTAGTTATTTTTTTATTTCGTAATGTTCCTTTTAAATTTTTAAACATTTTATTATTTAAGTAATCTTCACCTATGCCAATTTTTTCTGTTGATAAAAAATTGTACAATTCATCTGGGTTTGGAAATAAACTTAGATTTTCTACACCTACATCAAAATAGTCGTCATTTTCTTCATTTTTTTCATCATTACTTTGATTAATATTTTTTTTTTCATCATTTTTTTCATCATTACTTTGATTAATATTTTTTTTTTCATCATTTTTCTCATTATTCTCTTTTATTATTTTTTCTTTATTCACTTCTTCCTTTCCTTCTTTTTCGTTATCAATCACCTCATTTATAGTAATATCTTTATCATTTAACTCATTCTTTTCATTTTCATCATATTCTCCAATGTTTTTCATTAAGTTACTAATACTTTCACCCTTTATATCTTTTCCATAAATAAGTATCAAATTTACAAAATAAAGAATACAAAAGAAAATTTGATAATTCATCTTTTAGAAGGTATATTATTAAAAAGATTATTTTTTTTTTTTTTTTATTTCTATTTTTTTAAATAAGAAAAAAAAAAATAAATAAATAAAATAATAAAACAATAAAAAAAAATTACTTAAACAACTTTATAAAAAATTAAAAATAATTTATTTGTAATTTTAAATATCTTATCATACTTAGATATTTATATAAACATAAATAAACATATCTTATACTTTGTATAATTAAGTATAAGAGATGTCAGAACAAAATAAAGACTTTTTTTGTCTTATTATATGAATGAAAACGAAAATTTTCAAGAATTAATGTGTGTATTATTTATTATTATCCTTTCATTTACATTTTTTTTTTTTTTTTTTTTTTTTTTTTTAATACGCATTTTAAGGATGTTATGTACATTGTAAGTTGTATATTTCATATATTCACTAACATATTCTCCATTATTCTGTTCTTTCATTAATATTTTTTTTTTTTTTCTCTACTTTAAAAAACAAGTATTAATATTAAATAAAACATCTTCTATACAATTTACTTTTTTATAGTTTTATAAGAAGTTACAAGTTTACAAAAAAAAAAATCAAAATGAAGAAAAAAAAAAAAAAAATTGGAAAATTTTTAAATTGTATTTATAAGTGTGATATAGCATAAGTAAATAATTACATTATTTTAAAAATATTCATGAAAAAAAAATACTATAAAGTAAAATTTAACTAATTAAACCTAATGGTTTACATAAATATATCTATTTAGAAATACATAAAACTTTTTTTATGTTAAATATAATTTCATCAGTAGAATATAGAAAAAAAAAAAAAAAAAAGTATTTTTTATTTTCTTTTGATTTTTAAAAGATAAATTATTCATATGGTTGAGGAGCACATTTATTATATCCAACATCATTTTCTTTCCATATTCCAAAAGTTAACAATTTTTTATGTTCATTATTTAAAGCTGGAAAAAGTAAAGATACACAAAAAAAAGACCATACATATAGCCATGGACTCAAACGAGAGCTAAAAAAAAAAAAAAAAAAATAACAAAATATATTGTGTAAAAAATTTAATAAAATATAATATTATTTAATATAATGATTGAAGAAAAATAATTCTTTTCTTCTTTTTTTTTCATTTTTTTTTTTAAAAAATTACCAAACTTTAAACCATCCATATCTTCTTCTAAGTTGAAAATTTCTAGTGCTCATCCAAATTTTTGCATAAACAGCTTTTGACATTTTTAATTGTTTTAAATTTATTATAATTTAAAAAAAATAGAAGAAAAAACTTATTCTTTATATATATTATATTTCTTCAATATTTATTTTTTTTTGAAGTTTTTTGCATTTTAATATTATTTTTTCTATTTTTTATTTTTAAAAAAATTTTGTTTACGTAATTTAGTCAATTTTTTTCTTTTTATTATTGTTTATATTTGTTTACATTTATTTTTTGTTGTTTTATTTTTTTTATATTTTATATTTTTTTATTTTAAAAAATCTCAAAATTTTTAAGTGCATTTTTTTTTTTTTACAAATTACTTTTTTTTTTTTTTTTTTTTTTATTCGTTAGTATATGAAAATATTGTATATATAGATATATATATGTATATATATGTATAGAAAATATTTATAAAAAAAAAAAAAAAATACTTGGTGTTATTTTGTATTTTAGTATTATATAAATATATATTAATATTAAAATAAATTGTAGTATATGTTTTTGTAATTATTAATACATTGATTTGATTTAAAAAAAAAGTTTTGTATTCTTTTTACCTTAATAATTTATAAAACTGAATGCAATTAACAAAAATAAGGATATTTAAATATGGCTAAAACACATACTTTTAAAAATAATTAAAAAGTATTTATTATATATTTAAAAATAAAAAATATATATAATTTTAAAAATTTCTTTAAACAATTATTATTTCTTCATGATTATATTAAATGCAAAAAATTAACATATTAAAGCATTAAATAAAAAAAAAAAAAAAAAAAAAAAAATGTCAGATTTGTTTGTTGAACAGAATATAAATACTGAAAAAATAGAAGAAGAAAAAGTTGATTTTGATGAAAATAAAATTATTTATAAGATTAAAAAGAAGATAAAAAAAAAAGGAATAAGTAGAATAAATTATTTACCTCTAAAAGATGAAAAGTTACATAAAACTCTTCCTAACACCAAAAATATAAAAAATAAAAAATTAAAGAACAAACTAAAGAAAGATGTTAAGTTAGCCATTATATCATCTAAAAGAATTTTAGCAAATAGTAAATTTAAACCTGTGGAAGAAGGATATATTAAATTTGATTCTTGTGAAGAAAAAAATGTAATTAAAAAAAAAAAAACGAATGTAAACAAGAAAGAAGAAGTAAATAAGAATAAAGAAGTAAATAAGAATAAAGAAGTAAATAAGAATAAAGAAGTAAATGAGAATAAAGAAGATAAAGAAAAACAAATAAAGAATCCAGGAGTAGAAATATATGAAGAAGAAAATGGTGATGAAAAAAATTTAAGTAAAGCAAAAGTAAATAAAAATTCTATGGATTTTTTTGAAAATAACGAAGATTATATAAATGAAAAAAAGGAAGTAGGAAAATATTTAAGTCAGAATTATATTTATAATAATGCAGATATAGGAACTCAAAAAAAAGTATTTGATTTAAGTTTGAATCTAGGCCCATATAGTTGTAATTATTCAAGAAACGGAAAATATTTATTAGCAACAGGAGAAAAAGGGCACATAAGTTTAATTGACACTCAGAATCTTGAATCTTTGTGTGAATTTGAGGTGGATGAAACCGTAAGATGTAACACAATTTTACATAATCATAAGTTATTTGCTGTAAGCCAAAAGAAGTATATATATATTTACGATAATACAGGAATAGAAATAAATTGCATAAAAGATATATTGTATACTTATAAAATGGAATTTTTACCATATCATTTTTTATTAGTATCCATAGGAGAATTTGGTGAATTAGTCTACCAAGATATATCAGTTGGAAATATAGTTACAAGAAAAAAAACAAAAAGAGGATCATGTTCAATTATGAAACAAAATAAAAGTGATGCCATCATTTATTTAGGACATAAAAACGGTCATGTTACTTTATGGTCACCTAACGTAGATAAAAGTGTTTGTGATATTTTTTGTCATTATACTCCTATTTCTTCAATAGGAGTTCACGATAATTATTTAATAACAGCATCCATTGATTGTACGTATAAATTATGGGATATGAGAAAATTACAATTTATTAAATCTTATAGATCTCATAATGTTATTAATAATATTGAAATAAGTGATACATCAATTGTTGGTTTTTCTATGAATAGTCATTTTAGGACATACAAAAATTTTTTTACATATCCTGAAGTTTATTTAACTCATAATACTTATGGAGATAAAATTAATTCTTTATCATTTCAACCTTTTGAAGATATTTGTTGTGCTGGTTTAAAATATTCTATTAAAACTCTTTTAGTACCAGGAGCAGGACTAGCTAATATTGATACATTTGTTAACAATCCTTATGAAACTAAAAAACAAGTTAAAGAAAATGAAATTCGACTATTACTGGATAAACTGCCACCTGATACCATTAGATTTAAGAAAAACGAAATAGGAAAACTAAATCCTTACATTAATGTTGAAGATAATAAAATGTCTAATTATAAAAATAATTCTAAGATTAGAAATATGAATAACCATCGTCATTCAAAGAAAAATATTAATGAAGCTGATGTTTCCTATAATGATCAAAATGAAAATTATGATTCAACAAATGATGATTTTGCAAACGAAGAAAAAAAAAATAATAATAATAAAATTGATATAATGAGAAAAAAGAAAAAAAAAAAGAAAAAGAAAAATAGTACTTTAAATTCTAATATCCCAAAATTTCAAAGAAAAAGCTTAAAGGATAAAATAAAAGAAAAGGAAAAAAGTTCATAGAAAAATAAATAAGAATATTTTTATATAAAATTTTTAAAATAATTTTATCAAAATTATATGTTTTAATAATTTCACTTATTTGATATTAACATAAATATATTTGTTTTTTGTTTTAAAATATTTGTTTTTACATATATACCAAACATTTTATATATAATTAAAATATAAAGTTAATTAAGTTGTTATTTTTAAAAAATATAATATTGAAAAAATTAGTATTTTTAATGTGATCTTCATTTTTTTTTTTTTTTATCTTAATATTTTAAATTTTAATAAATGCTTTATTTTAATGAAATAAATTTTCAACATTATCATATACTTTGTTTCAATAAAGTTCATGCATATTTTATAGTTATCTTTTTTTTTATTTTATATCATAATTTTGCTTTTTATAATATTTTATAAATTTTTTTTTTTTAATTTTACAAACATCAATTTCAAATAATTTTAAATATTTTTTTATATATAAAAAAAAAAAAATAAATAAATAAATAATATAGTTTCAATTTTTTTTTTTTTTTTTTTTTTTTTTTAGTAATAATTTTTTATAATGAAAATAAAAATTTTAAAAAAAGTTGAATTGAAAAAAGTATATATTTTTTCTTTAAAAATATTTACTAAAGAATTACAAATAAATTAATTAAATAAGAATTTTCAGTTTGAATATTGTTTAATAAATTTTATATTCCGTTATTCATTTAATCCATTATCACTTAAAAATAATTACCATCATATTATACATACATTAATTTGACTTGAATAAATTTATTATAATAATAAACCAAAAAAAAAAAAAATAATAGTAATAAAAAAGTAAAAATGACTACTGCTCATAGACCAACGTGGTATAATGCTATAGGTGGAGAAAATCAAGGTAAATAATATATTTTTTAATACATTTATATATTTATTAGCACTTTTCTTTATTTATTTGTTTTTCATTATATTTTTAAACAATCTAACTATGATATATATGAAGAAATATAAAAATTTTGATATGCTGATTTATTTAAAATTTTGTTTTATTAATTTAGGTGGAAATAGAAAAGTAAGTCAGACTGTTAAGGTTTGTAGTAGAGACTTACCTAGTCATACTAAAATGAAAACAAGAGATTTAAGTGATTATGTAGAAGATAAAACTTTGATTAAAAATAATTTACTTAAATTAGAAAATAACAACAATAATGATACAAAAACTAATAAGTTATTAGCTATTGAAAATATAAAGAAATATACAAATCAAGAATACACAAATCCATTTCCTCAAGATGAAGATGATGAGATTGATGATGATTTTAAGTCATATAAAAAAAAAGATAAAAAAAAAAAAAAAAAAAATTTTAAAATAAACATTTCAAATAACAATGATACCAATAAAAAAGATACAGATAACGAAAAAGATGAAGAATATGAAGATGAAAACGACGAATATGAAGATGAATATGAAGATGATGATGATGATGACGATGATGACGATGATGATGATGATGACGAAGAAAAGGAGTTACTAAGAGAACTAGAAAATTTAAAGAGAGAAAAATTAGAAAAATTAAAAAAAGAAAAAGAAGAACAAGAAATAATGAAAAACAAAAAGAATAATGTACTAACAAATAATCCTTTAATTAATTTAGAAGATAGCGATAACGAAAATTCAGAAAAAAATGTAAAAAAAAGAAAATGGACAGAAGAGGCTATATTTAGAAATACTTGCGAAAGAAAAGAAAAAAAAGTTTCTTTTATCAATGATACTGTTCGTAGTGCTTTTCATAAAAAGTTTTTATTTAAATATATCCACTAACATATCTATTATACATAAATGTATATTCATATTTATATACTATTAATTTAGAAATTTTGTATTATCATACATTTTTGTTGCCCTAATATAAATATTCATTTTTTATAAGTTAATAATAATAAAATAGAATATATATATATATATAATTCTTTTTTTTATTTATTTTTATATACTTTTTTTCTTCTTTTTTTTGGTAATTTAATTATATCTGTAAAATTATTATATTAAAAATTTTTTTTTTTTTTAATGTTAAAGAAAAGATTTAATTCTGATAAAGAAAAATTTCAAATTTTTAAAAAAATAGAGAAACAAAAATACAAATTTTTTTTATTTTATTTTTTTTTTAAAGAATAAAAAGATTATAAAAAAAAAAAAAAAAAAAACTTATTTTTTTCCTGAAGATGAAACATTAAATTTGAAAAATACAATATCTCCATCTTCTACAATATAATCTTTACCTTTTTGTAAATATTTTCCATTAGCTTTTACTTCACTTTCAGATTTATGTTCAACTAAATCAGTATATTTGTATACTTCAGCACATATAAATCCTTTTTCAAAATCAGTGTGAATAACACCTGCAGCTTGAGGAGCTTTTGTTCCTTTTCTGATAGTCCAACATTTTACTTCATCTTGTCCACATGTAAAAAAATGAATTAAATTAATTTCATAATATCCTGTTTTTATAATTTTATTTAACATACTTTGTTTAATATTTTTTTGTTTAAAATAATCAATTTTTTCTTCTTCTGTCATGTTCAGAATTTTTTGTTCAAATTCTGCACAGTAAGGTATAATAGTACCTTTATTATTTTCTTGTACCCAGTTATATATTTTTGCTAGATATTTATTTTTTTGTCTAATAAAATCTTCTTCACTCATATTAACTAAATAAACAACTGGTTTTGCTGTTAAAAAATTAAAATCATTAATAACTTCAACTTCGGAATTTTTCCAGTTTCCGTCTTTAATCCATTTATTTTCTTTTAAATGTTTTAAAACACCTGTTAATACATCATGTTCATTTTGCTTAATTTTATCTTTCTTGTTTCTATTTAAAACTTTATTTATTTCTTCTAAATTTTTCTCACAATGACTAATATCTTTATAAATTAATTCTGAATTAATTATTTCCATATCACGGACTGGATTTATATTACCCTCTGTATGAATTATATCTTCATTTTCAAAAGCCCTTACAACATGATATATCCCGTCTACTGCTGCTATATTAGATAAAAAATTATTCCCTAAACCTTCTCCTAAATGAGCATTTTTAACTAATCCTGCTATATCAAAAATAGATAAATAAGCATGTACTGAACTTTTTGGTTTAAAATGATTAACTAACCAGTCAAATCTGTCATCTTCAACTGTAACTTTAGCCTCATGAGGATCTATTGTACAAAATGGATAATTCTCTGCTGGTATATTTAATTTTGTTAATACATTAAAAGTAGTAGATTTTCCTTTAAAAAAAAAAAAAAAAAAAAAGTTAATAATATTTATATATAAACTAATATACAAATTATTATTTCTAATAGATTTACATATTTCTTTTTTATTTTTTTTTTTTCTACATATTTCATTTTTACCTACATTTGGTAAACCAACTAATCCCATTTTTAACGTATTTTTTGGCCTAAAAGAAATTATCATCATAAAATAAAGAAAAAAAAATTAAGAATTATATCATACATTTTTAATGAGATAATACATAAATTTATATAATTTCCATTTTAAATATTTACCTTCCTAATAATATCTTTTGTTCTTCTTCTTTTTTCTTTGGCGCCATTTTTAAATAACTAATATACAATGAAATTTATATTTTGTATTAATAACAATTCTCTAAAAAAATAATTAAAAAGATTCTTTTTTTTTCTTTTTTTTCTTTTTTTTTAAATATATTCGTATATTAAACTTTATATATTTAGAAAAAAATTATATGTTTAAAATACAGTGTATTTTGTTATAAATAAGAAATAAATGTTAAAAATTATTTTTAAAAAAAATTTTTTTTCTCTGATATATGTCCTTATGTTGTGATTAAAAATAAAAATTCTTCCTTTAAATATTATATAAAAGAAAAAAATTATTAATAAACTATTTTTTATAATTTTATAAAATTTTTTTTTTTTTTTTTTAATTTTTACTATAAACAAGAAAATACAAAATAATAATAAATTATTATTCTTCTAGATGAAAAATTAAAACGGTGTTGAATGTAAATTTATCAGTATAAAAAAAATATGTATTCAAAATAAATAAGATTAGATATAAAAACAAAAAATTAAATTATTGTAGATATTATTATTATAATCCTTTTTCTATTTATATAACCTATTTAAATCATTTTAATACCCTTTCGAAATAATATGTAAAGTCTTCTTCATTTTATATTTTTTCTGTTGTGAATATATAAAACTAAATAATTAATGTATCACTATTTTTGGTAAAAAATGAAAATAATAAACTAATAAGAAAAAAGAAAACAAGAGATTAACTTAATAATTGAATAATTCATTTTTTTTTTTTTTTTAATAAAAACTTATAAAAAAACATAAAAAATTGTAAGACATAATAATAATAAATATATGGAATATTCTAAGAATATAATAAAAAAAAAAAAAAAAAAAAAAAAAAAAGGAACATAGAATTATAATATAATTTAAAAAACAAAAATAATTATTAACATAAAATTAGTCAAATTTTATTCAATAAAGTAATAGGAATAAAAAAAAATTTACTATTCAAAGAAATTGAAAATCTTAAATCTGTATAATTGATCAAAGTAATATCTATAAATTACAATTTAAATAAATATATTAGAAGATATTACATTACCACTTTTAAATTAGAAAAAAATGAGAATTTAATATTTATTTAAAAAAATTAGACACTTTATATGATTAATATATATGCTATTTTTTTTTTTTTTTTTTTTCTTTTTAACATATGAGAATACACTATAATGTTTTTATATATAATATTTTCTATCTTAATATATTAAAAGGATTATAAATGAGGATTTTTAATTTTATAAAGTAAAAATAATATTCTATAATCTTATTAAAAAAAAATATTAATTAAAATATAATGTTCTTATATGCTTTATAATGTTTAGCACTATATGTAACAATCAACTTATCTATCTCGCAGAAATATTTATATATATATTTTTTTTCTTATTTTTCAAAAAAATTAAAAAATAAAAATAAAAAATAAAAAAAAAAAAAAAGCATAGATACATATATTTCATACAAATATATAAGAAATTTTAAAAAAGGAAAATATAAAATAAAATAAAATAATAAATGATAATTAATAAATTCACTTTATATTTAAGATAAGATTCATTTAAAGATTAAAAAGAAAAAGTATTTTTTTTTTTTAATTGAAAATCAAGTCTATTTATACAAACAAAGTATTTAAACAAGAAAAATAAAAATAAGTAATTGATTCTTCAATGGTATTAAATGCCTACTTATTTGTTTAATAGACTTTTATGTTAAAAAAGTTGAACATTATATTAATGTAAATAATGAAATGTAGAAAATTTTTTTTTTTTTTTTATAACATTTTTTGTTAATTTATATATGCTTTATAAACTTACTATATTTTGAGATTTAAGATAAAAAATATGATGTTTCATTATGTTTTTTTTTTTTTTGTTTAATAGTGTTAAAAATTAATTTATAAAAAATCCATGAATTATATATATATATGTGTATTAATTTTAAAAGTTTAAACACTTTTTTTTACTGCTTTTTTTTTTTTCATATTCATTTTTTTGTCTATCATTTAATAACAAAATTTAATTTTACACTTTTTTTTTTAAATGAATTTAAAATAAATAATTTCTAACAACAATATTCAAATAAAATTTTTTAAGGAAAGCTTTTTTTACTTAAATGAAAAATTAATTAAAAAAATAACCATGATTTTATTTTCTATTATTTTTAATTAGTGTAATTTTTTTTTTTTTTTTTTTTTTATACAAATTTATTTATGTACTTGATTTATTTTTAAATTTTAAAAATAATTCTTTAGCAGTTATAAATAACAGATATTTTATTTGAACAAATTTTATTTTAATTTATACAAATATCTATATGCATTTTAAAATTTATCATTTTTTTTTTTTTTTTTTTAAACAAATATATCTAAATTAGATCTTTTTATAAACAAATGTGAATATATATATATAATTTATTTTCATTTAAAAATACTCATAAATAATAAAATACAAAAATATAATAATGCCACATAGAGATGTATTTTTTTATTTTATTTTATTTTTTTTTTTTTAATCTAAATTTATTTAACTTTTATAACTAAAACGTTTAAAATTCATTAAAAAATAAAGAAGAAAAAGAAAAATACTTTATATTCCTATCATTTAAAATTATTATTAATTTATTAAATTAATTATTAAAGTACATTTTTTTTTTTTTTTTATTTTTATCCACAGTTTAATATATTACTTCAAGATAACAGATCTATAATAATTAAAAATGAATTAAACATATCAAAAAAAAAAAAAACTATGTTTCATTTAATTATATATACAGAAGAAAATGCAAATAAAATAGAAAAATTTTTAACGTTATTTGAAAATTTATATGATTGTAGTGGAAGTAAAATTCCAAAAAAATGTAATGATAAGAATAATTTCGAAAATTATGATTGTAAAGATAATTCTTTATTAAAAGAAAAAATAGAAGATAAAAAATTAAAAGAAAAAGAATTAATAGATTATAAATATGAATTATGTATAAGAAAATATAAAATACAATATTATACATGTAATTTTTTACAATTATATATAAATAATGAAAATAATTTTGATTTATATCTGATTGATGAAGATGAAACACCAAGTTTAAATGATAACCTTTCAGATAATAAAAATATTAAATTAAAGAAAAATGAAGAAAAAAGAATAGAAGAAAAAAAAGATAAGGAAAATGAAGAAGATTCTATATCATCTCTAGATAAAAAATTCATTGATGTTAATCTTCCTTTGCAAAGATCACACATTTTATTTATTCTATCATTTCCAATAGATTTTTCTTTTTATGATTTTTTTTCATTAATACATGAATATATTGATTTTATTGTTTTTGTAAAAATTTTTGATGTTAAAAGTAATTTTAATTTTTTAAAGAAAAAATGTTATTCGAAAAATAGTTTTTCAAAAGTTCAAAAAAAATATGTTGATAAATATAAAAATAAAAAAAATAATGAAAAGGTTAAGGAAGAAAAAGAACATATTTATAAAAATTATATTCACAAAAATTCAAATGAATTTTTAAATAAACCAAAAAAATCTTTAAAAAAAGAACAAAAGAACAAAAACATACAATATTCAAATGAATTACTGGAAAATTTGAGTGATAACAACAAACAAAAAATTCAGAATGATGATAATATAATTAAAAATCAAATAAATAAACAAAATAAATGTACATTTAATGATAAAGATTGTGGAAAAAATAATGAAATTAAAAAAAGCAAAAAAATAGAAAATAACGAATATTGTGAAGAAAAAAATACAAAGGAACTTATAAAAAATATTAACAAAAAAGAAAAAAAGAAAAAAAATTACAATAACAGATTATTTTGTACATGTGAAGATAATGAAGTGGATTATAAAGAAAAAAATTTTAAAAATGAAAATGATAAATATAGCATATATGATAAGAAGAATATTGGGATATCGTTAAACATAGATAGTAGAAATAATAGTGATGAGATAAGATATGATTATATAATAAGTAGTAGTTCAAGTTTATACTCAGATTACTACAGTTGTGATTTATTAAATAAGGATGATAATGAATTAATAACTAATAACATTTTAAAAAAAAAAAAGTTTTTAAGTAGTGGAATTAAATTTAAAAAAAAAAAAAAAAAATCTTCTAATAGCAGTAATTCTAATTCATTATATGTAGATAAAAAAAAAAAAAATGATTTAAATAAATATCTTTCTTCCCTTTTATGTAAAGATGAACTTTTGTTATCATACCAGAAAATATATAATATGTTAAAAAAAAACTTAAAAAAAAAAAAAAAAATAGAATGTTATTCTGTATTAATAATTTTTAAAACACAAATACATGCTGATATGTTTTATAAAAAATTCCATTGTAAAAGTATAGATTTTTTAATGAAATCAAAATTTTTTGAACATAATAGTTATACTGTTTATGAAAATTGGCATATATATTGTGTATTTGTGAATTTAATATATTATATAGTTGATCATAAGATAAAAAAAGAAGAAAAAAATTTGAGTTGTAATATAAATAAAATAACAGAGATAGGAGAATCAGATAATTTACAAATAAAAAAAAATAATAATAAATTAGATAATAATAACAACAAATATAAAAAAGATTACAAAAATAATTCTAAGAAAAATAATTTACATGAATATAACTTAAATGAAAACAATTTACATAATAATATAAATGAAAATATTTTAAAAAAAAATATTTTAAACGAAAATATTAAAAGTAAAGATATTTTAAGTGAACAAAGTAAAAATGAAAAACATTTAAATGAAAAAAAAATAGATGAAAATACTTTAATAAAAAACAATGTAACTGAAAATAATTTGAGAGAATATAATGTAGCAAAAAAAAAATATTCTTTGAACATTTTTGATATAAATAATTATGAAAATTTTTTAAGAAATATTATAATAGATTCAAATATATGTATATCTGTATGTTTAATGTGTATAGAATTATTAGATAACGAAGTATATTTTATTTTAACTAGAAATAAGAAATGGAATAATTTAAAAAAAAGAAAAAATTATTCTGATTATATTAATTTATCCTGTAATATTTGTACGTTAATATATTTTTATGATATTATATCAAAAGTACTTAATAGTTCTTTTTATGATAATTTAAGAAAAAAGTTAAGTAAGGAGGAGTTAATTAAAGTGTTAGAAAATTATTTATTAAAAGATGATGTAAAAAAATTCGAAGAAGATAAATATTTAGAAAAAGAAAACGAGAAAGAAAAAAAAGATACAGATGAAAAAAGTGATCTATATTATTATATAGAAAAAAATACAATTAATAAAAAGTACTTTTTAAAAAAAAGAGACAGAATGATTTTAAATATTTTAAAATTGAATGAAATAATCAATATGTTAAAATGCAAATATTGTGATAATACTGATGATATTTGGTTATGCTTAATTTGTTCTAATATTGGATGTAGCAGATATCAAAAAGGTCATGCTAAAGTGCATAGTTCAAAATATAATCACAATTATTGTATAAATTTAAAAACAAAAAAGATATGGAATTATTTACAAGATACTTTTATAAAAGAAAAGATGGATAAACAAAGTGAGGAAAGCAAATTTGAGAATTCTGATTTTTCTTTTGATTACTATTATTCTCAGAATTACTCAAATAGAGATATGAAAAATAACAACATAATGTATTATGATAATGAAGAAAATTTTACAGAAATGCAAATTTTTGACGATGATTTGTACGAATATAACAGTCACATTTACAATAAAATATTTGATATATTTACAAATGATATTTACATTAATGATAATTTAAAAAACGAACTTTTATATATTTTATATTCTCAATTGTCTCATGAATCAAATATTTATAATAATATATTAATTGATATACAATACAAATATTTAAATAAATTAGAATCAAAAAAAAAAATAATAAAAAATGTTCATGAAAAAATAAATGAAATTATAAATCAAAATAAGAAACTTGAAAATTTTATAGATGATATTGAAAATGCAATCAAAATAAAAAATAATGAAAAGACAGCAATACAAGATAAAATTAAATTTTACAGAGATTTAAACAATAATATAATCACTCAAAAAAAATTAGAAAAAACTAAAATAATTAGTATTGAAGATGAAAATGATAATAAAAAAATAAAAAGGTTAAACGAAACAATAAAAAATCTACAATCTCAAGTTGATGATTTATTAATAAATCTATAAATAGAATTTAAAGAAAAAAAAAAAAAAAAAATATTACATTAATCAGAATTTTTTCCTTTTTTTTTTTTTTTTAATTTATCTAAAAATAAATAATAAAAATTTTGGATAAACCTAGTTTTTATATTTATGTTAATGTTATAAAGATATTAAATTAAAATTTTATTTTCAGGATTTTTTTTTTAATTCTATAAAAAATTAAATAATTAAAAAATTAATAAAGACAAAAAAAAAAAAAAAAAAAAAAAAAAAAAAAAAAAAAAAAAAAAAAAAAAAAAAATATAAATAAAAGTGATGAAAACTAAAATAAAAAAATATAATGCAAATAAAATTTTAAAAAATATAAATTTTAAATAAGCTTTAAAAAAGTTAAAATACATTTTTATATGTATATATTTATATAACCATTATTAAAAAGAAAAAAAGATTACTAATATGAATCTTTTATTTTGCAGATGATTTATCTTCGTTTTAATTTTTTTTTTTTTTTTTTTTTTTTGTGAATTAAATATAGATATATTATGATTCTTAAATAAGTGAAATGATTACGTATTCATGTGATTATGTTTATTTGTATATATGTTTATTTTTTTATTTTTATTTTAAAAAATATCATATAACATTTTATATAATTTTTTTAACATTACTGCTTCTTTAACAAAAATGTTAAAAAAATATTTTTTCATTGATTCATCAACTTTAAATTTTTTATAATTGTTTTTAGTCTGAATAGGATTTGGTGAGAATCTATAATTTTGTAAGCAATTTGTAGAATTAAAAATATCAGAAGCATTATTGCTATTATCTTCAGTATTACATATATTTTGATATCTATTTATTTCGTTAATTTTTTTAAATTCATTCTCTTTATTTTCATTTTCATTATTATTAGGTTCATTAGATATATGAGAACGAACATCTTGTAGATCTTTTTGTGTTTTATTTATATTGTTTTCTATATTTTGAATAAGTTCCCCTTGTCCTTGAATATTGCTATAAACAATATTACCTGTATTTTTTAATTCAACAGAAAGATTTAGTAAATTTGAGACAATATTTTGAGCTAAATCAACACGTTGTGAATTTTGAGATTCTTTATTTTCATTACTTAATTTTAAAGCAATATTTTTCAATTCATCTGATTTCTCATTTAATATAGGAATCATTTTTTGATTTATATTGTATTGTAACTTTTCTTTATTTAGTATTTCATCTTCTATTTCTAATATATTTTTTATTAACAACATATAATCTTTTTGTTTATCACTTATAACATTTGATTCAATAATTTTATTTAATGCATTTTTTAATTGAAAGATATCAGATTCTTTTTCATTATCATTATCTCTTTTTTTTTGTTCATACTTTATATTTACATTTTTTGGTTTCATAATTGTATTATTATCTTCATTATCATTTTTTATAAAATTATTACCCATATTTTCTATAGGAGACAATGAATCCTTTAAACTTAAGAAAGATGAGGTTGTAATAGTGTTTCTTATTTTGTCATCTCTTGTTTTGTTAAATCTATTTTCTTTAGAATTTATATTTTTCTTAGTTGAATACAAATTTTCATAACTTGCATAATTTTCACTTAGAAATGATAAAAAGTTGTAAAAATTGTCTCTTTGTCTATCTAATAAATCTTTTATATTTTTTAACAGATGAATTAATAATATCTTTTGTTTTCGTTCTTCATATACTGAATCCCTATCTATTTTCATATCATTATTATCGTCATCTTTGTGTATTATTTCATCCATTTTTTCTTTTTTATCTTTATCATGATCATGGGTTTTTATAGTTCTTAAATTATTATTAGGAATATTTTTCCCTTTTTCCTCTAATAAATATTTTATCTTACTAGGAGTTGTATTATACATTTTGTTACAACTCAACTTTAAATCATTTTTACAAGATACACCTATATTTTTATTATCTTCATCTTTGTCTATGTTAAAATTGCTATTAGTATTTTTATAATTTTTAAAAAATTCAATATTTTTATTTAATTTTCTTTCTTTTATTTTTTCTCTTATTTCCCTTATTTCTTTTTTTTCTCTTTCTTTTTTTTCTCTTTCTTTTTTTTCTCTTTCTTTTCTTTCCCTTTCTTTTTTTTCCATTTCTTTTTTTTCCATTTCTTTTCTTTCCCTTTCTTTTTTTTCCATTTCTTTTTTTTCCATTTCTTTTTTCTCCATTTCTTTATTTTCCATTTCTTTATTTTCCATTTCTTTTTTTTCCATTTTTTTTTTTTCCATTTCTTTTTTATCCATTTCTTTTTGTGCTCCTCCTAGTTCTTCTTGTTCTTCTTCTTTTTCTTCTTCTTGTTCTTCCTTTTCTTCATCTTCTTTCTCTTGATTTTCTTGATCTTGTTCTAATTCATTTTTTTCGTCTTCATTATCTTTTTGTTCTTCTAGTTCTAATTCTAAATCATCATTTTCTTCAATTTCTTTTTCCTGTTCTTCCTCTTGGTTATCATTTGGAATATTTTTTAAATTTTTTACTTTCACAATACCATCATTATTTTCCATATCATTTTCAGTGTTTCTTATATTTTCTTTTTTTTTTTCTTCATTTATAGAGATATCTTTTTCAATATTCATACTTTTTATTGTAAATGTGTCATCATTTAGTTTATTCGTAATGTTTTTTTTTTCATCATCATTATCCTTAATGGTAGCATTACAACATTTTGTATTTTTATAATCCACTAAGGGTTCATCATGATTATTTTTTTCTATATTTTTTATTGTAACTTGAGGATTTATTTTATTTTTCTCATCTATATTATATTTCTCTACATTATTTATATTAACAGATGATCTAATAAGATTATTTGAATTAACAAAAATTTGAAAGAAAATTAAAAAAATATAGGTTTTCATTTTTATATTTAAAATTCTTTTAAATAACCATTTACTAAAAACTCAATTTTTCAAAGATGAATTAGTTAATTTTGCTTATATATTTTTTTGTTTTTTTTTTTTTTTTTATATTAATTACCTAATTACAAAAAAGAAAAAAAAAAAAAAAAAAAAAAAGACCAAAAAAAACCAAAAAAAATTTAATCATA